AAGAGGATCTCTTCAGGGAACAAAATAAAGAGTTGGCAACAAGAGAACGTAACAACTCATAATCTGAAAGAGCCCAGCTTCTTAAAAAAATTCTTGATTTCCAGGAGCATATTCAAGATAAAGAGAATCAATTTCTTGCCTTAGAAGAACATCACAGAGTTTCTCAGGAAACAATCCTTTACAAGGATGAGCAATTAAGGGAAGTGCAGGCATGGATGACACGTGCTCAGGAGATGGATGCTTTGCAATCAACAACAAACAGGTCTTTACAAGCTGAACTTCGTGACCGCACCGAAACAGGGACAAGTTCAGTTTCGGTAGAAGAACTGGAAACTCGAAGTTTTCCATCAGAGCCAAATGTCAAGCTGCTGCTTAATACAAGGGCCTCATTTGCTTTCACTTGGTTCCCCTCGTTTTGCAGGTAAGATGATGAATCAGTTTGGTTTTCATGAACAATCTGGGAGCTATCCTGGTATACTGCACTCTTACCTCTCAACTCGGCAAGCTCCAAATGAAGTTGTTGTATAGTTTGCAGATGGTGACGTTCCATATCCACAAATTGTTGCTGCAAAATAATCCAATATTGATTGAACTGTTTGGTGCGGTCACGAAGTTCAACTTGTAAAGACCTGTTTGTTGTTGATTGCAAAGCATCCATCTCCTGAGCACGTGCCATCCATGCCTGCACTTCCCTTAATTGCTCATCCTTGTAAAGGATTGTTTCCTAAGAAACTCTGTGCTGTTCTTCTAAGGCAAGAAATTGATTCTCTTTATCTTGAATATGCTCCTGGAAATCAAGAATTTTCTTAAGAAGTTGGGCTCTTTCAGATTCTAAGTTGTCACGTTCTCTTGTTGCCAACTCTTGATTTTTGTTCCCAGAAGAGATCCTCTTTAGCCCAAACCGCTTCATTGTCTATCTTAACTGCATGCAATTCTATATTCTTTTCTTCCAAGTTCAACTCTAATTCACGTACTTCTTGTTCTCTTTCTTGTAATTGCTCATTCAATTATATATGATTTTTTAGAATGAATACAGATGTGTACATTAATGTTTTGAATTATAGAATATGTTTTGTTGAAATTTATTTCTGAATGAAGATTTATCTCCATCATATTTAGTAAATGCTTTATTTAATTATTTTCTAAAAAATGGATTTGCTAAAATTTATTTCTATGTGAAGAATGATCTCTATTATATTTATTAAATGTTGAAATTAATATTCATTTGATTGCTTTTTAAAAAATGGAATTGCTGAAATTTATTTCTATGTGAAGAATTATCTTCATCTTATTTATTAAATGCTGAAATTAATATTCATTTGATTGCTTTATTAAAAATAGAATTGCTGAAATTTATTTCTAGGAAAAGAATTATCTCCATATTTTAATCATCAATTCAATCGAGCGAATCTTCGCTCGATTGAATTGATTAAGAAAATATGGAGATAATTATTTACCTAGAAATAAATTTTAGCAATTCCATTTTTAAGAAATCAATCAAATTTTTATTAATTTCAGCATTTAATAAACATGATAGAGATAATTCTTCATTTAGAAATAAATTTTAGCAATCAAATGAATATTAATTTCAGCATTTAATAAATATGATGGAAATAATTCTTTACCTAGAAATACATTCCAACAATTCCATTTTTAAGAAATCAATCAAATAAATATTAATTTAAGAATTTGAAAAGCATGATGGAGATAAATTTTCAATTAGAAATAAATTCTGGCTATTCCATTTTTAAGAAATCATTTAAATGAATATTAATTTCAACATTTAATAAATATGATGGAGATAATTCTTCACTTAGAAATAAATTTTAGCAATTCCATTTTTAAGAAAGCAATCAAATGAATATTGATTTCAGCATTTAATAAATATGATGGAGATAATTCTTCACTTAGAAATAAATTTTAACAATTCTTTTCTTCTCAATATACCAAATCCAATAAAAATTTCACCATTCTTTTTTTTGGCAATTAGTTGGTTGTAAGACCAATCACCATAAGGTTGCTTCACTTAACAAGTTACTTTCACAAGACAATATTTATAAAGGTATTGGCTAGACGGATGATTCTCGAACTTCAAACTCGGAAACTATTCTTTCACGTTTTCTCTCCTTCTTCTTTCTTTCCTTTCTTCCATGCCAAGCTGTGATGCCAAATGATTGAGCAAATGATTTTATATATTTTTATATTTAACAATATTTTGAGAGTATGATGTTCGAGAGAATCTTTCATATTCTTCCAAAATCTCTTAGATTCCATCCCCAGCATCGTGGAGGCACTACCTGGTGCCACAACACTCCCTCAAAACATAAATTCTTGCCAATGTTTTGAGAGTATGATGTAGGGGCTCAATAAAGATTGGCACTGCAAAGCTCCTAGAAGGAAAAAAAAAAATCTAAAATCTAGAGTTCACCTTTTTAACCCAATTTCTCAACAACTCTATATTTCAATCAACACAATAATACTCATAACTACCAATTCATTCAAAATTATAATAATTGACAAATAACTACCTAGACTTCAGACTACGTGTGGTACAGTAAGGAACCTGTGAGGAGAGATGGATTTGGGTGGCAAGTTTAGGTTTATATTCCTGTTAGTTCTACCTTTTTTGTGATCATGATGTAATTGTAGTGATAAACCACAGCGTGACTAAATTGTATATGTTTATTTTAGGTTATGAATCAATGTGTAAATATTGGCTAAATAGTAATGTATGTATGTTTTTCGCTATTCATATTATCTGGATAAAATTAGTAAGCTATGGTTGATGTTTAGATGATAAAAAGATGAAGTTTTTTTTTCCAATTTTAGATATTAGGGTGCTACACTGCACCTAATCACAACCCTTTGTACATCATCGCCTAACCACGGTGCTCCAGCCATTGCTTCCCAATCATTATCCTTTGACCAACATTGCCCAACCATAGTTCTCCAACCATTATCGCATAACCAGGACTTTCGACCAACATCTCCCATGTGACCAACATCTCCCATGTGACATGAAATAATTTGAATGAATTATATCTTTGTATCTTCTATTTAATCTACCAAAGCCTCTAATAATTATTAAGATAAATCAATCTAGTGAAATCAATTATAACTTATATACATTAATTTTATTACCCAAAATTCATGTACAATAACTAAGAGTTTAAGATGTAATATACATCTATCATTAATCACTCCTATCTACAAAAGAATAATTCCAAAATATAAAAATGAGACTAAACCTGAAGATCCTGATTAGCCTCACTTCACTAAGTCCTAACTCATCTCATCACTAAAATCATACAATGAACTACAAAAGCCCAATAGGTTACGAGAACCTACCACCACAGTCAATACAAGACATTTAGAATTAAAATGCATACTTCACTCCAAATTAGTAGAAATTGTAGAAAATCTATATGAATTTCTCAATCAATCAGTGATCAGTGTGAATCAAAATGATCAATAAATGAGAGCAGATCAATAATTACGACAAATCTATATTTTTATACAAGGTTGTGAAAATCGGACCAGACAACGAACCGGAAGAAGGAGAGTTCACGTTTCGACCTGTTTGACCTATCGAACTAGGGTTGAATCAGATGACGTAATAAATAATAATATTATTAAAAATTAATAAAATTAGCATAATATAATATAAGTATATGAGCATTTAATAATAATTATAAAATTTTAAAATATATAATAAAATTTTATACATATAATTATCATTTAAGAATAATATTTAATATAATATTAAAAAATTGTGATCATTAATATAATATAAATAATTAAATATATGAGCATTTAATAATATTTCTATTTTTTAATGTATATTGTTTTGATTTCTTCCTTCTTCCCTCTCCCCGTCGTTGTTTTCATTTTTTTTTGATATTAGGAATTAATTTGAAATTCAAATTGTTCAAAATTTGAAATTCAAATTTCTTTCTTAATTTAGCTCACCTATTTTTGGAAAGTGCTCAATTGAAATCATAAACCCATGACAAATTTTGGATTTCAAATTTCAAATTTGAAATTTTTCTTAATTGGGTTTGATCCACATTTGGAAGGTTTTAACTCTCCAATTCAAAATTGAAATTTGAATTAGGAGTTAAATGCCCCCTCAATTTCCTCCCATTAATTCCCCAATTAAAGCATTAATGGCCTCTTAATTTGAAATCAATTTTCAAATTAATTTCCCCCCAAACTCTTCAAATCCTGAATTTAATTTCAGGATTAACAATAAATCTTGAAACAATTTCAGGATTATCTCATAAGTTCATTTAGAAATAATTCAAATTATTTCTCTTTTTTTTTTTTTTTCCTTGGCCGAATTCTCCACAGACTTATAACCCCCATATTTATTTCCTATTTCAATTCTTTGGATTTGGAAAGCACGTCCCAGTCACCCTTGATTGCTGCCGCCCAATCCCTTACCCGTTCCCCCTCCTCCTCCCAAATTCTCTCCCCCTTTCATCAAACCTCCTCTTGAATCCTCTGCACAGATTTTCTTCCAATTGGTTCTACTTTCTCCTTATGAGAAATCTGTAATTTTCTAAGGCGTTGGCTAGAAAAATCTGAAGACCTTATCAGATTCTGGAAGGATTTGGGGTTTTTCTTCAACACACATTGATGACCAGCCGATCCCGGATTCAAGGAAGTCCCTGTTTAGAAGCAAATTAAGCCTTAATTCCCTCACTTCTCTCCACCTGAAAATTCCTAAAATCTGTCCACGAGCAGTGTTCATTTTAGGAAGATTTGAAGAGCAAATCTGAACGCCACTCAGCATTCTTTGTGAAAATCTGAATTTCTCTCAGATTTTGAATAAAAATCTGAAGTAATATTATAGATTTTGATAGGAGTTCCTTTCCCTAGCAAAGTCCGCTCTAGTTCTACATCACTCTCAGAAAAACCGATGACTCTGAAACCCTTCATGAATAAATTTTGCTCGGGATATTATGATTTAATCTTTTCAAATAATTAATAGATAAGTGATGAACAGATTTTGATCAACTAAAGGAAAAATAAAGAAATTTCAGTTGGTTTCTCCTATTCCAAATAAATGGATGATAACTAATTTCTATTGGATTTCTTTTATAATTTCCACTATTAGCAATTCCTTCAAAGAAAAAAGAACTCAAGTGATTATCAGCAAGAAAATTAGTAAGGGGAGACGAAATTACATTTATATCAGAGGTCCAGAGTGTCAAGTTATCTCGGAGGAGTTGCATGATTAATGTGCTATCCTTGTAGGATTCCTCTCCCAGTGTGTCCAGCTCCGAGATAGCTTCATCAAAGGCCTTTACAGAAGAAAAAAAAAATGAAAGTTAGAATTCGATAGATCAAAGGAATAATGTGAAATTAAAAACCAGGCAAACATGAAGGATTCCTGCAAACAAAATTAGCCAATTTGAAAGGATTACTAATATAAAAAGGAAGAATGAAAAGATTTAAACTTAATAAGAGCAGATGATGCTTCATATAAATGTACTAAATACTTCTACTAGAATGAGAATACTATATTTCTAAAATTCTAAGGAAATTCCATTTAATAGATAGATGAAAATCCATAAAATCTACATTGGAATACACAAAGCATAATCTATGCAAATTCAAAATTTCTATAGAATCTAATTCGATAAGAAATTTATATATTTTCAATTGAAAGAAATACATCTGACTTAGTCTAATCTATTAATATTCAATTGAGAATTAGATCTACATTAGAAAATAGAATATATCTATTTAGAAGATTCTATCTATCATGTAAATCTAGAATTATAATATGAATTTAAAACTATAAAAGAATAATGAAGAATAATCAGTATTCAATACAAGACAAAAGAATTAGACTATTTTATATTTTAATATATACCATTCCTAAATATAATGATTTCAAAGAATACATATATAAAGAGAGATACATGATACAAGGGGAAGAGGAAAGACTGTCACAGCTTCATAAAAAATAATCTCAAGTTTTATTCAACACTAAATCAATCTCATAGACTTGGGGTCCTTATTTATAGTTAGAGGGTCCTCAGGTTACAAAAAAATAAAAAATGACACAATTGAAAGAAAATTGGCTCGAATATAAATTAATAAGGCAATAAATAACTCTAAGAAAAACAAATCCAAATTTTCTCAAAATGTAAGTGCTAAATAAGAAAATGGAGTCTTTAAATAATCACACCAACGACATCCAACATTTGTTCTAGCCATCATCAACTCCCATGAAGTGCAAGTAACTCTCCTATGTAGAATTAAGCTGAAGGTACTCATCCAGAAGGTCAAGAGACATACATTGTATGACCTGAAAGGCTTGTATGACCTTATATAATAGAATTTGCTCAACAACTGAAATTGGGCAGAAGTTGGAGGTAAAACTAGAACTAGTGTTATTGGTGGGATGCAAAAATTCCATTCATGGAGATACTTTATAGATATTTCGGAGCTTAAAAGAATCCTTAAATGTCATTAGATCCTCAATGTTGTGAGTCAAACTAACATTCATCTCAGCAAGTAAATCAATAATGTATATGCATTAGTTCCAAGCGTACAAAGCATCTTATAAGGGCCTACGACGAGGGCATTTAGTTTCTTAAAAGAGTTAGTGGGAAGCGTTAAGAGGAATATGAACCAAGACATAATTAATTACCTTCATTATGTTCTTGTACATGTCATTTTGCAAAACAAAGATTTTTTAATATTAGAATACAAATTATGCACATAATAAATAATCCAATAACATTATACTATGAATGCGCGGATAAGGGTATGAGATCTATAAGCTTCCTAGATTTTTAACCTTGCAATACTTCAAAGGGTGATTTTTTAGTGATAGTGTTGATAGAGTTATTGGGAGTAAATTCAATCGTAGGTAACAATAAATGACAATTTTCTAATGAAACAGAGATAAAAATTTTATTTATGTGCCAAACTATTTTCATGATACTTTTCAGAACTAACTAATAAACTTTGCATCCTATCAGATGCAAAGGAAGTGGGAAGACCATATAATTGAATGATTTCTTTAACATATAATTTGTCCATATGCGGGCCACCAATAGTCTAAACTAAGAAATAAACCATAATTTTAGAAAATTTATAGAGCAACACCGATATGAATTCGTCCACAAGTAGTTCTAAGCAATCCTAACACAAAATTCATGATGATCTCTAGCCAAGGCACTAGTAGGAGAAGTATTTCAATTTTATTTTTTGAATAAAAATTAACAAATTCACACAATAATAAGTAGGACAATTCATCATATCACAAAATAATGTTGAAAATTACCTGCTTTGCCAAACTGCAAGCACGATCCGGAGAATTCAAGATTTCATAATAGAACACAGAAAAGTTAAGTGCCAATCCCAACCTTATAGGATGAGTTGGAGTGAGATCAGCCAATGCAATGTCCTGCAATTTTTTTTAAAAATAAGTGCATATATCCCTTAGATATGCATTATTTGTAATGTTTAAAAAAAAAAGAGTTGGGATTGTAAGAACAAAACTAAATCATAGCGATAAGACATAGAGCACTTATTATATAGTGAAGCAAATCAAATAAAGAAAAGGTCCCAACCTGAGCGGATTTATAGGCTAACAGTGTGTTCTCAGCAGCCTCCTTCCTCTCTGCTCCAGTTTTAAACTCAGCAAGGTACCTGTGCATTAATTATTTACCCGTATAAAAATGGTAAAAAAATCTACTTATTTGTGCCGAATTAATTCTACAAATCTCTACAAACCTATGGTAATCACCCTTCATCTTGAGGTAGAAGACCTTTGACTCAGCTGCAGTGGCAGAAGGAATGAGATGGGAATCAAGCAGCTTCAGGATTCCATCACAAATCTTGCTGAGCTCATCCTCAATCTTCCCACGGTAGTTTTTGATTATGGCCACATGATCTTCATTCCCGCGACTCTCTTCCTTCTGCTCAATGGAAGATATGATCCTCCACGAGGCCCGACGAGCACCAATTACATTCTTATAAGCAACAGATAGAAGATTGCGTTCCTCCACAGTTAGCTCCTCCACATCAACTGTTTTTGCTACCTTCTCCATAAATTCAACCATCTCCTCATATCGCTCAGCCTGCTCAGCAAGTTTTGCCAAATAGACATTCTCATCACGCGAGGACTCTGCTGATGACATTTTTACTTGTGATTTATGTTATGAACGATAGCTCAGCAAGACTTCTGGGATCTGCATCAAAATATTGGCAAATCTCAATCTTTTTTTTTTTCCACAAAAAAAATAATCTAAATTAAGTACGAGAAGGAAATAATATTCACGGTTCGCACATCCAAGTGTTGAATTTACCATGTTCCAAACAACCAACATAAATTAGCAGAAAAATTAAATTAGAAAAATAAAGCAAAGGGTAACGAATTATTACCCACAAAATGAAAAAAAAAAAATCATAAAAGAAATAAGCCACGCTATCCAGTTGACTTTCAAATGTAAAAGGGAAAAACAAAGCAAGAGGGAATGAAAAAGATGACATCAAGAAAACAAAAAATCTAAGGATCATCATAGAACAAACAAACGCCAAATAAAAGCTCCAGTTGAGGCAAACAGATCCAACAACAAACACCAATTACATTAAAAAAACAACTCAGATGCTAATTAAGGAGTAGCCGTCCGAAAATGACCAAAAACAACTAAAACAAACGCAAGGACCTGCTTCCACCTAAACGAAACAGCGCTCCTAGGCACGATTAGGCCGATCCGATCCGCTCCAAGTTCGAACAACCTTAAAAATCTGAGAAGATGCAAGGCTCGAGACGAAGAAATAGCACAGAAACTATGAAGGCTTACCTGCTTATCCTCGATCTGGATCGCCTTTATACCCGACGCGGAGCTCCTTAGGGCCAAGGCGAAGAGAGACAGGAGCGAAGGTGAAGGGAAGCCCTAAGAATGGCCGGCCTATATTTGTTCGGGAGCAAATGGCCAAAATGACAGGTAGACAAGCTGACCCGCTTTATGCGGAGCGCTGACACGAATCAACTGCCCGAGCCTTATGCGACATCGTTATATTTTTAGACCCTCCAAGAAAAAAATAACTAACTTTTTTATGCTCTCATTTGGTTGGATGAGATATGTAAAAAAAAAATTTGCAATTTTAATTAAAAAGTTTAGGAAAGTTTCATTTTAAGAAAATTAAAGTTATTTTGAAAAATTGTAAGATTTATACCTTCTAAATATTTGCATGAATATAATTATATCAAATTCATGAACAAAATTTAAAATAAAAAACTTATTTTTCATTTTTTTTATAGAACGAGAAACAATGATTAAGTTAGAATTTTTGGCATTTTTCTATACTATTACACCGAGTTTATTGCTTGAATAATATATAATTGCATTTGCTTTTACATGTACTCAGTCGATAATCGTCATGTTACAAATAGAAGACTCATATCCATTAGGTCCCCACAAAGGAACACCAGACCTGACTCGCTCAGATCTACAAATGAATGTTGCACCTCGCGGGGGCACAGAGGATTTCATCAACCAAGCAACTCGCCACTCATCTCATTGAAGGAAAGTAGCCATCGCAGCAACAGTCCCTCACTTGAGGCTTGCACCTTCATCCTCACAAATCCAAGACCAACCACATGAAAGCATCAGCTAAGCTCGACATATTGAGACCAAACGATCACTGAGTTTATCTTATCTACAGCCTCAATTTACTCGCCTTCTCCTCTAGGCAATCCAAGGCTCGGCACAGATCTGTGCGTGCTTTGGGTCTACGTACAAAGTTAAGATATTAAACACTCTATCTCTTTATTATCGTGATATTCAAGCACGCATCAAATAGAAATATTTATTAATTTATGAAAAGAGAGCAAATTGTCATCATTTTTCATATTAAGAAAATGAATTTTATCATTCTCAACTCAATAAAAAAGTTCAAAAGTTGATTCTCAAAATAAATTATCTCCAACAGATTAAGACTTTTTTCTATGTTTAGCATTCTAGGCTGTTTATCTTATGATGTGCTTTAAATTTAAGCATTTCCTATGGCAAAATTAGTAATAATATTTTGGACCTAAATTTTTATAATTATTTTTGATAAATAAGATGTTTTCTATTATTTTAATTATATTCTCTTCTACCAAAGTTGCACTTATACTTTCCTTAAGAAAATTATATTCCTTACATAGATTATTCTTTTGATTATATTCTACAAATAATGGAAGAATTTATATATTTTACAAAATTCTATTGTAATTTGTTATAAACTATAACTTATGTGAAAGTTTGTGAGGGTTGTGAAACTCTAAAGAACTAGTCCCGAGGCTAACTAAATTTGGGGGGGATTAGTGGTTAAAAAAAGTTCTTTAAACAAAAGGAAAAATCCCCTTCTTAAACTCTTTCAATATCTGAAAAAACATAATCAATACAATGTAATATCAATCACAGATTTTCAACCGAGTTGTTATATCAAAAAATAAATACGAAAAATAAAGTGCAAAAAAATAAAACAAAGATCAAAAACATCATAGATTTATAATGGTTTTGTCAACCTAACATACGCCCACTCCTCTGAGCCTCCCATTCCAAGTATTGCACTAAATCTTTAATGACTCTCCTTTAACCTCCACATCTAGGCGAAGAAGCCATTACAAAATCACTTTCGCCAGTGCGGCGGAGTACCGTAATCCTTTTTCTCCCTCCAAGAGACGGCAGAGGATCATAAATCCTTTCACATGTAGAGAACCTTGAATCGCTTTCACCTCCTTCGGTGCGGCAGAGTAGCCGAGTCTTTTGTCACCAAAAAGATATTCTTCTTCCCAAAACTTCGCTCAAGACAAACCTTAAATACGATCACTACATGAAAATCATGTATTACCGGCAAATTTTTTGGCAGAAAAAACTTCATTTTTCGGTGGATTTTAAAGTTTTTTTTATGCGGATTTCCCATGGAAGTGTTTTCACCGATAAAATGAGTGTTGGAAAAATTTAAAGGCAAAAAAAAATCGCAAACAAATTTTTTAACGTAATTTGGCCGCAGAAAAATTTTTGGCGGCTCCCATATGGAGAAATTCCACCTGAATAATTAAAAATAATAATAATAAATCTAAGTTGGCTTCCCCACCCAGCCTGCCCGCAGCAGCTACCCG